TTTTTTTAGTTATAGGTAGTATATAATTACACATAAGAGAGAGCTATCAATAAAATGTGACAGGTGGGTAGATGAAAACCTTGACTTTCTTTTGGTTATAGGTAGTATATAATTACACATAGGAGAGAAGATTTGACAGGTGGGTGTGGCAAGAGGGGTCTCATTTTCTGTTTGATAGCTCTGTAACCAAACAAAATTGAAGACTATAAAAATTATGGTTTGTCTGAGCAATAATGATCTTATAGAGTAATTTATGTTTAATTTCATACTTTTTCGAGGGGTGGTGGATTAAATTGGAATGGTGACATTCTAAGAGAAAATGTGTTACGTGGGTCACACTAGTGTAAATTCAGGATTTTTTTTTATATTGCTATGTAGAATTAAGAACTTAAAACTGGTATACTATTAAAATATGGATTATTAGCTAAGGTTTAATGCTATTTTAATTGGTATAACAAACAAAAAGTAGTTTAATATAATTTTGAATCTAAGACACTAAAATCTTGTGTCTTGTGCAGTAAAGGATACCTGTGGCAATAGGGTTAAGGGGAAAATCATCAGGCTTCACTCTGACAATTCCATGGTGATGTCTTGTGTTTCTCATCGAGGAGGCACTTGGTCCAAGGCTTCTTATTTTTGAATCATGGACCTCATTTCTTGGGATCATTCCTATCATATCACCCTACTAGCTTGCCATGTTCTACAGGTGATGCCTGTAGTAGCAGGTCAGTTGTCACAATCCAAACATATTTTCCTGACAGAATAGATGCTGCATTGCAAGGTTCTGTTGGATTGGTTCTCGTTTTGCAACTCTGATTGGTGGGTTGGCCTCTCATTGGATCACCCAACTACTGGCAATTTGGTCTCTAATACCTCACTTTCAGGCTTTGGCAATGGATGCATTTCATTAGGACAGGACAGGATTACATCTCGAGGTCTTCGCTCCAATTTGTATGTTAACCAGGGTACCAAATATGATTTGTTCAAACTTATTGTCGGGTCCTATTGGTAGCACTAGATTGGCAGCTACACCCTGGTTTCTGCATCTTCAGTACCTTCTGGAGTGTCCACCTCTGCTACTTCTTCTTAGGCCATCTATGTGGAAGCAGCCGTAATCTGACCTGGTACACCTAGCTATCCAGAAGCTCAAGCTTCAGGCATAGAGGTTATGCAGTCTTTCACATGGCATCGGGGTGTAATTTCTAAGGTTGCCATGTATCTGTCTCAGTTTTTACTTTGTCCCGAGATGAACATTTATCAACGGAAATGACATGCATATCAGCAATGGTGTATTGAGAGGAGGTTTAGCCCATTTTGATCAGAAGTGCCAACCATAACTCATTTTTTGACCTGGCTTTTTTGCAGGGATTTTTGTATCTTCCACAATCACTCTGTTTAAGGTGGCCTTATCGACCGCCATTAAATTCTCGTGACTAAATATTTGAGTCTCTAGTACTCTGAATTCCTCAAATTGCTTTGGGTCCTTGGTACCAAATGACCATTCTAGTTACCTAACAGGTATATTGAGGTTACATTACATGCTCTTTCTTAACACCTGTTTGTGATCTGATTCTTATATGCCATGTATCCCCTTTATCTGAAGGTTTATTTTTTGTGGCTGCTGACCTACAAGCATTGCTAGTTGGAGTGATTTGCACTGTTTGTCCATAGACTGCTTTCTCATTCTCTCTTCATCCTCATACCAGTTTTTCTTACCCAAGACACTGTCAGACAGAGAAAGGGATAAATCATTTTCACCGATTCATCTGATTACTGTTTCACACTTTTATGTCTGATCAGATTTTGATTGTAGTCATGTTCAGTGAGAGTCTTGAAGGTTTTGTTATATGCACTAATGTCTTTAGAGATGTTAGACAACAACTTTTTATTTATTCTGGGCTCTCCTTGAAGGCAAGGAATCTTCTGCGAATCATGTGTAATTAGATTTGTCACATTTCTGTGTTCTTAGTGGCCTGGTTGAACTTCTCACTAAAGGACATTGTGTGGACTGATATGTGGACCTTCCCCAATACTTTTATCTCACTTTATTTGTAGGATCTGGCAGTATCTTCATCTGAGGGTTTTTGCCTACCCCCTGTAGCTATCTTAACCCTTTCTGATGGATTATACAGAGGGGTGAGTATTTTCATTGCTACCTTTCAGAGTCCATTTGCTCATTTTCACAGGATCCCACCTAAACAAATTTTACACAAGCAGCCACTAATTTGGGATACTTTATATAGGTTGCAATAGGCTCTGTAGAAATGAGGTGTTTCATAAGACCATAGAGGCTGACCAGGTGGTATTACTGTACTGTGTTGGACTGCCAGTCGTTAGATTGAATAAATTGGGGTCAGTTTGCTTTTAGAAATTTAGGGAACTTAGTTCACCTATTGCACTGTTTCCAGAGCACTGTTTCTCAGGACTCCCTGACATGCATTACCCCACAGATCCTGCTAGTGGAGCTGGGGAGTCTTTAACATGCCTGGTTTCCAGAGTGTTAGAGTGAATTCCTCCACTCTTGGAGAAGAGGGCAAAGTTGGGGGCTCTCATACCCAGGTGTCCCTGGATGTTTTTTCTCGGTTGTCGGTAGGAGTGGCATCAGCCTATGCAGGAGCCTACCCGTAATACCGATTCAGATTTGATGCTCAGCTATCTAGTTGAGTAAAGTGTAGTCCTTCTTTTTGATCAATATTGGTTTAGTACATTGTTCATGGAAGAGGGTTCCCTGTCTCCTTGTAATTCTGAATGCAGAGTAGTCCCATCCTGGGTCCTTGGTTGAGCACAGTTGTTCCATGTTCTCTCCATAATTCCAGGTGCAAGTGGAATTTACCTTGCCCACATAGTTGGGTAGTGAAAATGAGTGTTCATAATTCCAGAGTGGATGAGTTCTGTTTCCATAAGTTGAATAAGGCATACGTGATTCCATCATTCCAAGCCTGGGGTGTTGACTTTCGGAGTTCTTCAGGTTGAGGAGAAGGTTTGTCCACTTCAGTGTTGCTTACTTTCCTGTCGTGATTCCTGTGGCTCAGAAAGCATCACTCTATGGCTACAGGTTGGAATCTACTCATAAGTATATATATAGAGTTTGTGGTCCAGTTGCCCAAGCCACCTATGTGGGATATAGGGACCAGGGCCATTTAATTCCAACCCCGAGTAATGGAACTTCAGCTATCTGGTTGGGGCCTGGCCTATAGTGTTGATAAATGATGTAAAATTCCACCCACAATACAGGAATTAAGTTCCAGGTGAATAGCTTACCTGTTCTGAATGTAGTGCATTTCTCCCACTAGGGTGCCAGTCTGCTATGCAGATGCTTTCTGTATGGATAATGCCCTCACTGGCCCCTCCACCTTATCAATGTGGGATTCTAGCTATAAATGTGAGAGGAGGTAAGTATGTTTTGGAAGTTAATAATTGCTTAAACCGAAAATGTATTTCCAATGATACTTACCTCCTGCCCTTTCTCCTTACTAAAAGCCAGTGTTAGAGACTGAAATTGATTCAGTCTTGAGAAAGTGATAAAATTATCTGAATAAGGTGCATATATACAGTAACAGGATAGATAGGACATTGACATAGGTGGAGTGTCATGAGATAAATATCGACAATGGCAATTGAGTGAGGTATAAAAGACTGGAGAAAGTGAGAAGAAATCAGACCAGTGCTTAGATGGGCAAAGGAAGAAACCCTTGCAGTCAAGTAATAGCTGTAAGTGTGAGAGAAAGCAAGTATTATTGGAAATACATTTTCGATTTAAAGAAAATGTTAACCTTCCATGAATTGATTATTTTTCTAATGGTAATAGATTTAACTGTAATTTTGATTAATTATTTTACCTGATATGTATCAGTTTAGTCTGTGCTTGTAGGTAATTTGGTTTATCAGTTAATTGCCTAGCTTTGCTTGAAAACAAGAAAGTTCTCAAACTTGATTGTAATATATGTCACACATGATGACATCCTTTTTGTTGGTGCTTTTGCTATCATCCTGCAGAGATTTAATTATGAAAACTAGAGATTCGATTTACATGGCTCCTATGCAAAATGATAAACTCCCATGTTTTGTATCAGGATGTAGAGATATTTTTATTTTTCTGCATTTTGTATATTTACAGTGTATCATTGAATTTCTAATTACATTACAAGAATGAAGACGTCTTCATTTACTTTATATCCTAATGTGAATTGTTCCAAAAGGTGTTACAGGGCAGACTCGCACCTGAAGCTTAAGTACTAAGCATGATTTGCAGGCTTCTGCATGAAAACTATAAAATATTCTAGAATGCTGTAAAGGGATTATGACATTATATACATACATATTTGAGCAGCAGCAGTTAAACTTTTTGGTTGTTTTCATGCATCTAAAGTGTCAAAGTGGGTTTTGAAGTAGATGGATATAAGTGCACATGTATTTATTTTTATGATTTCTGTGACCAGTACGTGATACTTACTGATTTAACACATTTAGTATGAAAATAATTATATTCATGATTTTTTGCATTTTAAGATTACAGGAAAGTTAAACTAAACTTGATGTTTTGCTTCATCTGTGGTTAGTAAAACTAATGTAATCATTTACATCTTGCATGTTGTTGGTCAAGATGGAAGACAGAAATGCATGTCTCCAGCCTTAGCCTGTTGGGCTTTTAAACCTTATGATATTTGTATTTGTAGACAAGCAACGATACAAGTTTACATGCCAGTTGCCAAATTGTGTTTCTGTCTGCGGCTCTTTAGTTTGTAGTAATGTGTATTGAAATTTGAAACTCAAGAAAACTTAGAAACAAGTGTGACTATTTTCAGAAAGTGCATACAAATTTTTCAGTGAGTTGCAAGAAAAGAACCCGAAACTAAGCTTATCTGCAGACATCATATATGTGTATGTGTCTTTTTGATGAAGAGAATGTTGCATCATTGTTGATAAAAAATAATTTCTTATTGTATGATGCTTTTGTTCACTTTGTATATTAGAAATCTTCTTACATTTTTATTTTTCAGGACTGAAGCACGTGACTTTTCTCCAAGAAGTGACAGAGTTATACAGTCTCAGTCTAAGAGAAAGGTACACTGTCGCATTTGTCTTTTGGCAGTATTACGTAAGAAATAGAATAGAGTGTTTATCATAGAATGACAAATTTTGTTATTAATGTTCAAGCACTTTTGAAAGTTTATCTAACTTCTGCATTATAATACTCCATATCACCACCACTTGTTATGTATAGTCTTGCCTCTGCATTACCACACAGTACAATTTCCACTGAAGACTCCATTAAAAATATTTGGATCAGATTTTCTGAAATACTTGTTAAAACTAGATTTTTCTATTTACAGTGTATATTTACAAAGTACATTTAGTGTAGCTGAAATAGCATAAATAAAAAAAATTTGACAAATATGTTATTGTATGAAATATTGAGAACATTGTCATGGCTTCTGTCTCCCACCTGTACTTCATTGTCAGGTTGAAAGGGTGAATACACACCTGGAACTGGTTTACTCATAAACACAGGAGTTTTAAATTGTTATAATTCAGTATAAGCAGTTTCAAGCTATTTAACACTACACAGTCAAAACATGAAACAAAGAATATGTTTTGAAGAGCTTCTCTGCATTTTGTGTTCATGTTAGGAGTGGTTTGGCATTCTTTGATAGATTGTTTAGGTAGTGTATTCATGAAGACGAAAGGCAGCAGACTTTCAAAACATCGTCTTCTACACTTATGTTTGTACAACAGACAGTTGCTGTCCATTCAACTAAATTTCATCATGGTTTTGCATTGCTTGGATGATTGTAAACTCAGTTAAAATTTGTTACAGTTTGATGTATATATATATATATATATATATATGTACTTAATGATTGAGCTATAATTTGAATAGTCATCTACTTGTTAGTGAGATATAAGCTAAGAATTCAAAAATGTCTTTTGGGCATATTTTCAAATTCTTGGTTATAATCCATGACTTTATTTAACTATTTCCATACAGTGTTGATGGACCTGACCTTTTACTCCCAAAGTAACCATCAGAGTTCTCATGCTATAACTTTTAATGTGGTATGTGTATCTTCATGAAATTTGGCAAGCTTTCAGTAAACATTACAAGTCAGATTTTTTTAATTCACTATTGCGTGTGAATATATATGGAGTCAGTGTGTTGACTGCTCTCGATGCAAAGTGATTATCATGCTAAGATTAAAAATACTCTTCTTCATCTGAAAATTTTCAAATTTCATTTATGTAACCTCTAAAACCTCCTAAGTAAATATCAAATATTTTTTTCTAGTTAGACTTTATATTTTATATGTTATTTTCTCTACCCTGACTATATGGACTCAGTCAATTTGATATAAAATGAGTTTTCAAGTTCTAAGTTTCCTATTTCTCTTTGAACACTATAATTGCCTAGCATTTTAACAGGATGCTCTGTTATGGAACTTAAAGAACTTTTGGAAATTTCCTTCCATGCATTATTTAAAAATATTAGATTTGTTTTATTAATTCTGCACTTTGCAGAGAAGATTGAATGCACATTCTACACTTTTTATTTTACAGTAACTACTGGCATAACTTTATTAACACTATTAATACTAAACTTTTTATTTCATAATGCTGGAACTACCTCTAATTTTCCTTTGTAATTCCAAGTGGAATTACATTTTTTACTTCTCAGGAATATATTGGTTTTTCCAGTACTTTTCATGAACTTTTTTCTTAAAAGTTCCAGCCTTTGAGGCTTATTTTTTGTTTTGGGTCAATGTCTACAGTCCCAAGCCCTGTGGCCTTTTAGTCCACAGTTAAAGATTTCCATCTGTTGGTTCTTTTTCTTAAAACACTTTTTAGTTTTATGGCCTATTTTACAGCAATTGAAACATTTTGTGCCGTTTGGATTATTTTGCTTCTTATTCTGCCAGCTTGTTCTATCATTTCTGTTATTCACAGCATTTATAGTGGAATGTTGGGGTCTGTATATCTGTATTTTGCATAGCTCTTTTTCTAGTAGCTACTTGAGTTAAGTCTAGCAGAGTTGTGTCTGTATTTGCTTCATTTAATTTTTAATTCATTATGCTACTAATCAAACCCCATTCATAGTCTGATCTTAAAGTATCAAGTATCATTAATTCTTTAGTGTCTGTATGCCCTTCATAATCTGTTACCTAGCTCCTGTAACTTGTGACTGAATACTCTGACTGACTCTTCTATTTGCAGAGTTAAACTGTGAATTTAATTTAGTATGGTATTTGGTTTTTCTCACTTTCTGTATTATTGTGTCAACCTAAAAAACTAGAAGTCAGTAGTATCTTTAAGCTTATTGCAAACTCTGATATAGTACTGTTCTTTATCTTAGGGTATCTGCTTTTTGTGCATTTGTCAAACCTGATATTTTAGCCATTTCATTAACTGCATCACTAAAACTTTTGACATTTTCATCAATTTTACCGTAAAATAATGGGATAGTGCTTGTGAAGTGCATAGCACCTCGCTGTCCTATTAGCACAAGTGGATCTAATGGGGCTGCTGCGACACCCTCCTCTCTTAATTTCTCCAGTAACTGTAGCCATACCTACCTCTTTTACTACTTGTTTACGTTATTTGCTTATTTCTATACTTATACTATCTTAAGTTAGCTTTTTTCAACTTTTGTTTCCTAATTCTTAGAACCTGTTGTTGGTTAACCCAAAATTAAAATCCTGGCACACTGCAACAATTTGTAACAGGTGCCATTGTTATTCATTGTAAATAAATTTATTTTATACAAGGATATTTTATATGCAGTCATGGGTAAAACTTACAAGCCACCAACTCTAGGAAGTTTACGTAAAGAATGAAGAAATCACTTGGAGACTAAGTAACACAGAAACATATATTTTAATTAAAGACACTCAAATATCGTAAATCGAGATTTTTTCCTTGAGTATTCGGATATTTGTTTAATAATTCCTATAAGATTCTAACTTTGGCTTAACTGTTTTGTGCATGGTACTACAATGCCTTGCTAGTTTTGCACATGTTACTGAAGCTTTTGTTGTTCTTTAGTTTTCTTGGTATTTGGAGCATTGACTTAACTATTTTGTGCATGATACTGTGATGCATTGATAGTTTCACACATATTATTGAAGCTCTTGTTTTTTTAGTCTTCTTGGAATTTGGCATGTCTTTCTTTGTAATCTCTGGTGTGCTTAAAAATCCAGGCCACTTGACCTCCGACCTGCATCATCTCTGAATCCTCTCTTGGATGTGGTATGCAATATTTCATCCACACTTGACAGCTGTGCCATAAACTTCATAAACATCCTGTTGACTTATTTATTTAATAGCATCAGTTTTTCTGATAAAACAAATTGTTAGTTTGTGTTATCTAACATTACAGGCTTGGAATGTTATTTCTAATTGACCCAAATTTCTTTGTTGCCTTATTTTGGTTATCCAACACACTTGTTGGTGTCGAAAGTTTCTATTATATTATTTGGTTAACTACCTTATATTTTCTATGGTATCTCATTCGCTGTAATTGCTAAGAAATTTCTTTCCCCAAAAATTATAATATTAATACATTTGCTATTAAGCAATTATTCCAAATCATACACACCTCCACTGCCACTTATAGCTAGCTATTTCTTGATCTTCATCTTTGCCATCTAAACATTGTGTTTGCTTGCTCCAGTCTTTATATCCCATTTGACTGCCCTCGGCAGTATCTAATTTGCAAAACTTTACACCAGCTTTCACATGCCCTCTATGCAGGTACTGTATATAAGCACTATATGTTGACAATATAATCACTTTTTTCTCAACAAAGCACTAGTGCTAGGAGTTATGTTTTGTGGTTCACATTTTCTTTTGAAGCATTTTGACAGTAGTCTGATGTTTTTTTTTTCCCCATTGCCGATATTTCATTGGTTTTCTTTTGTAGTTTTTGTGTAATGGTTTCTGGCACAGGGGTTAACCAGAACATGTCCATTCCTCCTTTGTTGTCTGGTAGTATTCCAGGGTGGGTGGGTGGGGTGGAGGCTGTCCATGATCTGATTCGTTATGAGTTGGAGTCCTTCATGTGGTCCGGGGGTTCAGAGTTGGCTTTTCATCATCAACCTGAATGTACTGGGGAGAATTTATACACTGTTTTCTGCTCCTTCTTTCACTTGAGCTGCCTTTACTGAGGATTCATCTGATTGGCCCCCTTCTGCCTATTTTCTGCAGTTAGTTACGCGAGTTTGGTGAAGCTTTTGGAGATTACTTAGTTCTTCCTCCTTTCCCTGATATTGCCGTGTATGATGGGATGTTTATAATGCAATTACGAGAGAGTATTGCTATGCCTTGCTCCCCTTGTTTATCAAAACAACATGCCCTGGCTTATCGTCTGTAGTATATTTGGACACTCAACAGTTGGATTTGTTGTTGGATCTATGGGGTTCCAGGTTAGAACCTGTTATCCCTCTTACCA